CTTCTTTGTTTACCTGGTATCATTATATGCAAGCAAGGCTTTGTTGGCAGCCTTCTTTGTTTACCTGGTATCACTATATGCAAGCAAGACTTTGTTGGCAGCCTTCTTTGTTTACCTGGTATCATTATATGCAAGCAAGGCTTTGTTGGCAGCCTTCTTTATTTACCTGGTATCATTATACCCAAGTAAGACTTTGTTGGCAGCCTTCTTTGTTTACCTGGTATCACTATATGGAAGCAAGGCTTTGTTGGCAGCCTACTTTGTTTACCTGGTATCACTATATGCAAGCAAGGCTTTGTTGGCAGCCTTCTTTGTTTACCTGGTATCATTATACCCAAGTAAGACTTTGTTGACAGCCTTCTTTGTTTACCTGGTATCATTATACCCAAGTAAGACTTTGTTGGCAGCCTTCTTTGTTTACCTGGTATCATTATACCCAAGTAAGACTTTGTTGGCAGCCTTCTTTGTTTACCTGGTATCATTATACCCAAGTAAGACTTTGTTGGCAGCCTTCTTTGTTTCTCGTTTCCTTTTTACACCTCCTTCTGCCAACCTTCCTCCATTTAGGATTAAGAAAACTCCTCCGTGCCAACTGAGCACCCAACAAGATCTTGATGACGCCAATACGCAAAAAACAACAACAGAAACAAAATAAAATAATTATATATACACACACACTTTTCTCAGTTAGTAACTCGACAAGAATGTTTAAATACTTGTTTTATGTTTAAGCCCGAAACTACAAATAGGCTATCTGCATCATGCCCACCGCATATATCGAACTCCAAATTTTAGAATTATTAGCCCTCAAGCTTATCACCGAACCCGGAGGGAAAATGTCTAATGAAACTGCTGATTGTTGGAATATGAGCAACTTGAAACTAAGTCTTCAAACTCAGTGATATTGATTGTTTGTGCAGAGCCAGATAGGGGCTATCTTTGCATAACGACTTTAATTTTGAACTGATAGAATAGGGGGGAAGATAAGTAAGTGAAAATTCTTACATTCCAATAATGTGAAAATTAAAACTTAAGTTGATAATGTTTCTGATACTGAGGAAGGCTATAATTTCAGTTAATATATTGTCTGAGTAGCTGGAGTACACGTCCCCTGGACCAAAGTTATGTAAATTCATGATTAATGACAGGTTATCTTAGGACATGAAAAGTTGCTTCCTTTATATGTAATTGTAAAACCTGCAAAACACAAAATGAGAAACTGCAAATTTGTATGTATCTCACCATGGACCTAATGAACCTCCAAACCAAATTTGGCGAAGATCCATCTACATCCTGTGGAGCAGTTATATGGACAAACAACATACAGTACTATTATATTTATATAGATAACATACAACATAC